GTTGTTTTTGTTGTTGAGTTCTAGTTTTAATGCATTGTGATCAGATAGAATGCATGGGATTATTTCTGTTTTCTTATATTTGCTGAGGTTTGCTTTGTGCCCTAAGACATGATCAGTTTTGGAGAAGGTTCCATGAGCTGCTGAGAAGAATGTATATTTTACAGAAGTTGGATGAAATATTCTATAGTCATCAGCTCGGTCCATTTGATATATGGTGTGATTTAGTTCTAGAATTTCTTTATGGATTTTTTGTTTGGCTGACCTATCTATTGGTGATGGGGGGTATTAAAGTCTCCCACTACGACTGTTTTGGAATCTATATATGTCTTTAGGTCCTTCAGAGTATGATTGATGAAATTGGGTGCACTGATGTTGGGTGCATATCGGTTGATCATTGTTATTTCCTTTTGGTGTATTTCCCCTTTTATTAGTATGTGTCCTCCTTTATCTTGTTTGATCAATGTAAGTTTGAAGTCTGATGCCTGTTTTCAGGGTCATTGGCTTGGTAAATCTTCTTCCAGCCTTTCACCCTAAGTCAGTGCTTGTTTCTATCAATGAGATGGGTCTCCTGTAAACAAGAGATTGTTGGATCTTCCTTTTTAATCCAGTTTGCCAAATGGTGTCTTTTGATGGAGGAGTTAAGTCCGTTAACATCAGTGTTAGTATTGATAGGTATGTGGTGATTCCTGTCATTTAGTTGTTTTTGTTGTTTAAGAGTTTGATTGTATAAGCTGAATCAGTGTTACTCTCTGATTCCTTGTTTTTTCTTCTCCTGTGGTTTGGTACTGCCTGTCCTTTCATGGTTTTGTTTGCTTTCATTTTCTGTATGTAGAATTCCTTGAAGAATCTTTTGTAGTGGTGGCTTGGTGGTCATATATTGTTTTAGTTTATGCTTATCATGGAAGACTTTTATTGCTCCATCTATTTTGAATGATAGTTTTGCTGGTAAGAGTATCCTAGGGTTGAAGTTATTTTCATTCAGTGCTTGGAAGACTTCTCCATGCTCTTCTTGCTTTTAACATTTCCGATGAGAAACCTGTGATTTTGATGGATTTACCTTTGTATGTTATTTATTTTTCTCTCTTACAGCCTTCAGTATTTTTTTTTCTATTCTCTGTGCTTGTTTTAATGATAATACATCGTGGGGTAGTTCTATTTTGGTCAAGTCTGTTTGGTGTCCTGGAGGCTTCCTGTACCTGAATGGCTATAGCTTTCTCTAGATTTGGGAAATTTTCTGTTATTTTGTTGAATATATTACGAATTCCTTTTGTTTGCACCTCTTTCTCTTTGGTGCCCATGATTCTCAGGTTTGGTCTTTTGTTGGAGTTGGTGAGTTTTTACATATTCATTTCACAGGTGTTGAGTTGTTTGATTAGTAACTCTTTAGTTTTTCCTTTAATATTCATTTCATTTTCAAGTTCTGAGATTCTGTCTTTCACTTGTTCTAGTCTGCTGGAGTGGCCTTCCATTGTGTTTTGTGTTTCTGTTTCATTCTTTTTTCTGAGGATTTCCATATCATGGGTCACTTTTTCTTTAATAGTGTCAATTTTCATCCTTAATTCATTTATCTCTCTATTTGTAGTGTTCTCTGTTTCACTTTGGTGATTATCTAGCACTCCTGTGAGTTCACTTATTTGTTTTGGTGTCTTCTCATATTCTTTATTTTTGGTGCCTTGGAATTTCTTTCTTTTTTTTTTATTGATCCTGGGGTTTGAACTCATGTCCTCATGCTTGCTTGCATGGCATGTGCTTTACCAGTTGAGCCACTCCATCAGCCCATGTCTTAGAATTTCTTGAGTGCCTCTTGTACATTTTGGTTGACCATATCTAGTAACATCTCCATGAAATTCTCAGTGATTACTTCCAGGATTTCTTCTTTCAGGATATTCTTGTGGGCTTCGTTGGGTTCTTTGGCATAGTTTATCTGTATTTTGTTGGAGTCTGGAACTGGGTATCCATTTTCTTCAGTTCCCTCTGAATCCTGTATTAAATTATTTTTTGTGGGAGAATGGTTTCCATCCCTTTTTTGTCTTCCCATCGCTCCACTTGGTACTGTGTAACTATGTTCTTGATAGGCTATTGGTGGTTTCCGTCACCTGTGTTCTTTCCCTTGGTTTAACTTTGTTTTGTGGGTGTGTTGGGTTTTAGATTAGTGTTATATATGCTATTTCTGACCCTGGTCTGTGTGTAATTTAGTATTAGCTGTCTCACGATAGTAAAAACTAACAATAACAAAAACAAAATAACAACAACAAAAAAATCAACAGGGATAAGTGGACATACACACACACACAGTAAACAGGAAACAAAACAAACACAAAAAAATTCCTAGTTCAGGAACAATAGAATTTCAGTCTTAGTAGTTCTGGTGTTACTCCTTCAGCATCCAGTCTTGGTGTTGGTATTTAAGCAGATGCTCCATCTTAGTCTCACCAGGTGGCTGGGGAGTTCTCAACCAGTTTTTTTTTCCATCTTTCAACAGCAGCTGTTTAGTCACCTCCTCCCTCAGTGAGGTGTGGCAGTTTGAGTTTGTATATTGTCCTTAGGTTCCGGAGAACAGCTCTGTAGCCCACTAGACATCCTGCTCTGGAGTTGAGATGAGTTTTGTGGACTGATCCCTGTTCTATTTCAGGCAGTGGCTTATCACCCACCCTTCTGTCTTTCCAGTCTTTGTTTACTGAAAGTTCTCATGGAGATCAGCTTCTTGCCCCTCCCCACTTCTCCAGTGTGCTTACAGCACCCCGTCCCCCTCTGCTGTGTTTTCCTTTTCAGTTCCCTGTTTATTATTCAAGTTTTTTGGTTTTTTTTTTTTTTTTGCAGGGTGGGGGGTCAGTCTGCCCAGTGGGCTATCCTGGTTTATTCCAGGGGTGGCTGTGGGAATACCGCATGACACTTATTTGCTCACCTGTTGGTTTGTGTCTCCCAAGCAGGTTTGGAGCTGGCCTCTGGTGGTGTAGGAGCCTTTCTGTTTTCTGAGTGTAATGTGTGTGGAGAAGCTTTGTGTGGCCTGGGGGTTCAGGGTGTCAGAGTTTTGATTCTTCTTGGTGTTTTTTTTCTGCCAAGTGTCGCTCCAGTGTCTCTCTAAGATTTTTGATTTACAGAGCTCGTGCTGCCTGCTTCTACACTCTAATCACCATCTTGGATCCTTAAGACGTTTTCTTTAAATGTTATTTATTGCAGTTGAGGTGATTTCATAGGGCAGTTAGTCTAGCACCAGCTAAAGGGCAGCTCCAGTGCTTCAACAGCCGTCCAGATCCTTGAAGGCCTGCAGGGTGAGCACTGTTAAGGGTTGGTCCAACCATCTGTGTTCAGACCACTCCTAACTTCTCAGCCTGAAGAAGGAGCTGACAGATTTTGCCGTGATCGAGTAGCAAATGTAGGTCCAGGAGACCATCTCAAGGTGCAGTCAGCTGCAGGACTGGCATCAGACGTTGGGCTCAGTAAAGACTTGAGTCTTTTTTTTTCTTTCTTAAGAAAGAAATACAGTCTCTTGAGCTTTGAATTGTAATTGAAGAATAGTTGTGGACTAATGGGAGGCCATATTAAAGGGCTAAAAACATGAGCCAAGTGTGGGTGGTGCATACCTGTAATCCCAACACTCCAGAGACTAAGGCAGAGGATTACAAGTTTGAGGCCAGCCTACAGAGTGAGATACTGTCTAAAACAAATAAATAAACAAATATCCAAGAGTTGAAAACATGTTAGTTCTGCTTTTTATAGAATGTGAGAAATAATAGAAAAGATGAAGTTTTCATAATTATTTTTTCTGTATTACATGATAGAAAAAAGTGGAACCATTTGCCAGTGTTATTAGTTTTCCATATCCCTTTGCTTCAGAGATCAATAAGGTTGCTGTATTTACAGGGGTAAGTAACTTTCATCAATTATTTATATGTTAATTTTTTAGATATCATACTAATTAATGATTAGAATAAGTGAACAGAGAAAATTTTAGTATTCTCTTCAGTCTTTTCCCCATTTGGAGCTCAACTCAGGTGACTTACTTGAGGTTGTGGCACTAGTTTGAGAACAAGTGAAACTAGAACAGAACTTCCGTTGTTACTAGTCCACCACACTATGTTTCTCAGAAGAAGCTAAAGACAAGTATGGGGTTTATCCTGCAGAGCTCCCTCTTCCTAGTTAAACTCCCTCCTCAAACAATGCTAGGAGTCCTTTGAAGCAGTGAGTGCCAGTGCTCTAGAACCTCAGAAACACAGTAACCTAGTTTGGAGAAC